TCGGTGAAAATTGGCCAAGAAGTTAAGATGAAAAACTGACCAAAACTTGTTGAAAATTTTACTAAGTGTTGATAAAAATGTCACGACTTCATGGGCCTATATCTCCTAATCCAAGAATTTTTTGGACATCAACACTCAAAGACAAAGTTGTAGAATTCATCAATCCCTACAACTTTCATGTTGAAAGTTTCCCTTGAATCAATTTGCATCTTAGTGAAAAATAGTCACGAAGTTGTGAATTTATTAAGAATAAAGCACTAACACTTGGAAAAAATTTTAAGTGTTGGAAAATTTTCTATCTTTGACTTTTGTTGATTCTTAATGATCAATCTTGATAATTTTGAATGTCTTGATGATTCTTGATTTTTGAAGTTCAATGTTGACCAAAAAGTCAAAGTTTGACTTTTGTGTGACAATTGACTTTTTTTTCATTAATCAATTCAATTTTCCAACTATCAGTCATTTATATCTTTGGAAATGTATTGAGCTATATAATTAGATCAAGATGTTGTATTTGAATCCTTGAGATCATGCTCCAAGTCATTAGGTCATGCACTAGGTCAAAAGTCAATGATCAGTCATCCTCAATCAAAACCCTAATTTGGGCAATTTTTGACCTCTGATGATTTGCAGGTTTTTTCTTGAGGAATTATGATCAACCCTTGATCAAATGATGAATATCACCTCAAAATGTTTATGTTGGCAAAAAATTTGAAGTTTGACTGAATGTTGACCATAATTGACTTTTTGTCCAATACAATTGACTTTCAATCTTCTGAACCATTGGCTGAGCAATCTTGAGATGTAAGACTTGGAACTTGAAATGAACATCCTTAAAGACATATGAAGAACCATGGAAACCACTTGAGACCCTTGAAAATCCAAACATCCTTGAGAAACACCAAACCCCTAGTTGTGGACTTATTGCTTAGGAGGAGAATTATGACCAATCAACTTCTTAAGTAGTTTTGAGAAAATGGGGATCTCATGAGAATGTCTTGAAGAAAAATGGGAGGGTAAATTTTTGGGTACAATAGTATCATAATTGAGTCGAGATTGCAAAGCATGTACCATGATCCATTTATCCAAATGCAAGGTTCAATTTGGTGCGTTATGTAGAATTTATTCAAGAATGGTTCAAGCTTCAATTTCTATATCAATCGAGGTCTCAAGAATACAAAAAATATTTATCATTCAAGAACAATTCAAAACCTCTATGATGACAAGTAATATTACAAGAGGGATCTTTTACAAACCAAATTGCAAGATGTACAAGAAGTGTCCTAAGTCCTAAAAGACAACCTTCGAAGTTCTTAATCTTATCCAAGCTGCTCCAAAAACAGTCTGCTACACCGGGCCCTATCCACTGCTACTGCTGCCTAAATGCCAACCCATAAGACAACAAAAATCTGCACCATGTCAGTCCAAAGCCTTCTCGCTGACCACTTTAACCATGTTGTCGCACTGTATCATAAACATTCCATCAACCTGCACAAGCAAAAAATAGTATGTACAAACAAGTCCAAAGCTTTCACCATAATTGCTCATATAAAACCTGTGCAAGACAGAGCAATAAAATCAGAGTATCAAAGATGGAAAAGATGATGCTTAGTGAATAAGGGTTCTATTTCAAACTTCCCTCTCAAACACCAATCTCATTTCTATAAAAGAAAGTTTGATCTCACATCAAAAGGGGGGAGTCCACGGATAAGGAAAAAAGACAAAGAAAATTTTGCATAAACATTGTAAAATCTTCCTCAAACTTCAAACTAATATGCAATAATATTTGGCTGAATAATCCCTCTTCACCATCACTCTACACAAAAACCACCAACAAAGAGCAGAAACACAGCAGCATAGAAAAACCCACCAAAAATCTTCCCAAAAATTCTACTTTTAACCTCTACCTCACCTTTAAACACCTCAATCCACCACTCAAAATAATTGCAAAAACTCTACAAAAAACTAACCACAAACCTTCATTACACATAATCCCTGCAACAACCATCAAATCGTCCTTCAATTTTCTCATAATCTTCACTCTGCAGAAAAACTCCTCAAGTTCCATACAAACCTTCACCTCGATATCCTCGCTCACGTTCCCAGCTCGTCAACATACTCCCTTTCATCCACGACCAACTTCACTTCACCAACGTCTCAGACAATAGAAACATGCAACAAGCACAACAACATCAAAAAGAAAAAGACTCAGAACGACAATAAAAGAAGAGGAGGAGCAAAATCATAGGTGCATAGAAGCTTACATGTGTATCAGAACTCTTCATCAGCGTCGGAACCGTTAGACAAGCTCCGACCTTGTAAGTTTTCTTACATTTCATTATACCACGGTGATCCTTTTGGTGCACTGATTGTAAACCCCCTTTCAATTGTGCAAAAATGCTTGAATTCACCATTCAATTTCACGTAGGTTTTCTGAATAACTTTTGAAATTACATGAGTTTGTTGTTGCTTCTGAAAATTTGATTTATGGATTCATGATGAGGAGATCAAAACGAGTAGAGTAGTATCTTTAGTTTCAATTTCTGTTAATTTTTTACATGGTTGAGTTCAGGTGGTAAACGACCATGGTGAAAGGTGAAGACGGAGGGTACGAAAGCGTGAACAAAGAAAGATCGTGAGGTTTGGGAGTGATTTTGATTTGTTTGGCTTTAATTAGATTTTATTAGGGAATTAATTAATGATTAATGGGGATAAAGAATAGTTAACTGTAATTTTTCCTCTTCCCAAAGGAATCTGCAACGCCTCACTCCCAAAATTAAGGTTTCAAAACCCCTCACCTTCCCTAACAGATCCGGGTTGGGCTTAAGTTGTAAGCCCAACTTAATTATTCTTATCCTCTTATCTTAATTGAAGCGTAGATAAAACAGAATAAACAGCTTGGTGTAGTGGTTAGAGTGTTAGGTTTGCATGCGTGAGGTTTTGGGTTCGAGACCCATTGGAGACATTTTACCACTATTTTGCATTTAATCCTTTGCATACAAAAAATATTAGATATGGTTTATAATTATTTCTTTTTGTTTACGTCTAACTCCAAAGGAAAAATCGAATTCATTTACTTAATATCATCGAATATATTTAATACGATTGTGCGAAAACCCATTTGTACATTTTTTTATAGTTTTATCTAAAATAAATCTCTCCTAAAAAACTCAATGTTTAAACTTACACTCATTTAAGCCAAAAAATTCGACACTAGGTCGTCGCATCTTCAAGATCTCATCCCCACACCCATTTTGCAAGCAAACCAATTTTAACCAAAAAAATAGATATTTCAAAAGGTTCCTATAGGATGCTATAGATACATAGGGTGTTATTACATTCCCTTTGTATAACCAACTCCCGAATATTCGATCTCTTTCAAATGTATTGTATTTTTCTTTACTTTTAGTATTGCACTTACTTTGTATATTTATGAGTTTTATTTCACACTTTTCCCTTGAAAATAATAAAGCGCAATGAAACTCTTGCTTATTTGCGAGTCAAGTTAATTAATAGCTTGATCTCCGATTTTCACCGCTATAAATATTTCATATTTTTTTTCCAGTCTGACCATGGGCAATAAACTCAATATAATGAGGCTTAATTCAACCTCACAATCAGAATCAAGATACCTACATTCAATCCTTGTATATTCACTATCATATATAATCAGACGATCTCTCATGTGAGATGTGGAATCGTACATGGACGACTCTAACCTTCCACATTATATAAATTTCAACTTGTCATTTCATATATTCTCTCATTCTATAAAATTCATCTATATCATTTCACGACTTAAACCTTTAAATATAAATCTTACATGTTCATTTACTCTCTGTATCAAAAGCTCAATCTAGCACGTTTAAACTCAAATTCATTGAATCTCCACACTGATATACAAAACATATGACAATTATTTTCTATTTATTTTATCATTTTAATTTTTTATTTAACATGCATAATTTTTTTAATTAAAATCTAGCCCAAAAAAACTTGCATCAACACACAAATAGTAGGTAAAGTAAATGACAATTAATTGCTTAAATATTTTTTTAGTACTGAATCTAATTTTATTTATTATAATATATATAATTTTGAATCAAGGTATATTTTTCTTTATTAATGTAACATATTACATAATATACATTACTACGAAATACAATTTAATCAAATGATCAGAAGAACTTGTGATTTACGTTAGACATTTTTTTTTAAACTAGTTCCTGTAATTATATAAATTCATAGAAAACTCTAAAAATTATTAAAAAAAAATCTCTCCTACTTAAAATAAATTATTAATTAATTAATTAAAAACAATAAACTCTTATTCACAATTAGTAAAATTACTACCTATAAATTTATTGGTGTGGTATGTGATACCTTATAACTATGGTCCACTCAAATAATACTCAACACCAAATTTTTTGAGCACCCATTATTCTCAACCTAAGCGTTACTACCTAACTCTACAAACACCAAAATTCCTATTTTATCCATTCATATCATAAAATAAAATCCATATATTATCTTTACTAAAAAAAAAAAACAGAATTCAAATTCTTTTCTTCTACTTTTTGTTCTCACCAGTAAATTAGATTGAAAGATAAAAAGTAACGTCAAAAGAGGCATAAAAATAGGATTTGAAAAGTGTAGTTATTTTTCAAAAGGAAGAATATGCGAATAAAGATAAAAAGGACCCTAATTCTATGGGCTTAGTAGGTTTCTTATTAATTAATTAATAAAAAAAGATTTAGTAGCCATTGATTTTGAAAATACAAAGAAAAATATTAATTATTAATTAAAAAGAAAAGATTAAGGGGTCTGTTTTTGAAAATACAAAGAAAAATATTAGGTAGATTTTGAAGACGGTTTTTTAGGTACAACAACATAAATAAAAGGGTATCCAACACTCAAACATAACATTAACGTTGTTACTTCACTCTCTTTAGTAGCTTAGAATCTGTCGCCAAAACCAACAACCTTGTATTCTGTTTCTCATGGATTCTGATTATGGTATTCCAAGAGAGCTCTCAGATCTTCAAAAGCTTAGATCTTTATACAAACCAGAGCTTCCTCCTTGTCTACAAGTGAGTATTTGTTCATAAATTTTTGTTTTTGTTTTTGAATGTGTGTGATTTAGATCTATAGGATTTGTAAAGTTTTGATTTTTGTTTTGGTTTTTATTTGGGTTTGGATTTTAATGGAATGGGGTTGGTTTTTTTTTTATATTTTTTTTTAATTTTATTTTGGTGATTTGGATTTAGAAAGTTTTGTTTTTTTGTTGTTTTTTGAAATGGGTTTGAATTTGATTGAAATGGGGTTGATTTGTTGCTATTTTTGGTGCAGGGGACAACGGTTAGGGTTGAATTTGGTGATGCAACAACGACTGCTGACCCTTCTGATGAAGCTTCTATAAGTAGATCTTTCCCTAATACCTATGGACAACCTTTGGCTCATTTTCTTAGGGCTTCTGCTAAAGTTCCTGATGCTCAGATCATAACTGAACACCCTCCAATTAGGTTAGTTTATATATTTGTTGTTGTTTTTGATGTTGTTGATGATGATGTTTTCTATGCATTGTTGTGGATATGTTTGATTTGTTTTGTGTGATTTGAATTAAACAAATTCTGTTATTGGCGGTGGTGGTTGTGCAGGGTTGGAATTGTGTTCTGTGGTAGACAATCTCCTGGTGGACACAATGTTATTTGGGGTCTTCACTCTGCTCTCAATATTCATAACCCTAAGAGTGTTTTGCTTGGATTTCTTGGTAATTTGCACTGATCTTTTTTGATTACTTCTGATTGAATGTGTCCGTTTTCCGTGTCTGTGTCATTATATTGACAATGAAATAGAGATATTTGATAGAAAGATGAGCAACTATGCATATTTTCTCTCTCCTTTTTTCAGGTGGTTCAGAAGGTCTATTTGCACAGAAAACTTTGGAGATAACTGAAAGTGTTCTCGAGACATACAAAAATCAAGGTTGGTTTTGGCAGAAGAAGCAGTTGTTCTGATTAGCCAATCGATTGTCATAGAATTTTTTTAAACCTTTTGTTATTGGATTGGACTATGATTGTTTCTGTATTAGGTGGTTATGATTTGCTTGGGCGTACGAAAGATCAAATTAAGACAACTGAACAAGTCAATGCCGCACTTGCTGCATGCAACAATTTGAAACTTGATGGCCTTGTCATCATTGGAGGTATACTTCTTCTTGGATCTTCATGTATGCTTACGGTCGCATCTTTAACGGTGTTTCTAAATCATGAACTTGGTTTTATTTCAGGTGTGACATCAAACACGGATGCTGCTCAGCTTGCAGAAACATTTGCTGTTGCAAAATGTCCCACAAAGGTATATTACTGGTCATTCTTGAATCTGTTATAATGATTATTTGTTCATTTAAGTTATCTATTGGACCGGATATTATATGTCAGTGTGCAATTTCAATACAAATTTTGCGGATTATGATTGTTTTGATTCTGCAGGTGGTTGGTGTTCCTGTGACTTCGAATGGAGATCTTAAAAACCAGTTTGTGGAAACAAATGTTGGATTTGATACAATTTGTAAGGTATTTTCCTATTGGTGCGAGAACTCTTGTTTAAACATGACTCAGTATTAACATGACTCAGTTACATGTGATTATTTTCTTTTTTTATTCAGGTGAATTCCCAGCTCATCAGCAACGTCTGCACCGATGCTCTCTCTGCGGAGAAGGTAAGGCGTCTAATTTCCTTGTGAATACATATCAACACCTTTTCATTTGAAATACCTTTCTGACCGAGTTTTCTTTGCTAGTATTATTATTTCATCCGTCTCATGGGACGCAAAGCATCACATGTTGCTTTGGAATGCACTCTTCAGTCCCATCCAAACATGGTATGTATTGATGTAATATATCATTCGCTTTTAACTGATTGTGCAATTGTTTGATGCTGCTAAACTATTCTCTACTATTGCTCTATTCAGGTAATTCTCGGGGAGGAGGTTGCTCAATCTAAGCTTACCCTTTTTGAAATTTCACGAAAGATTTCCGACGCAATTCAGGCTAGAGCAGAGCAAGGTTTGAATTATCTTAATTACTATGCCCCCCCTACTTTTTTTTCCGACCTTTTAAAATCTCAGATCGTATTCCTATGTTTTTCTCAGACAAATATCACGGAGTAATCCTCCTTCCAGAAGGTCTGATTGAGAGCATTCCTGAAGTGTATGCACTCTTAAAGGTAAACCTTACCCAAATACCGGTCATTTGAATCTCGTCTATTTAAGTATTCATACATCTATGTTTCTTAAAGCCATTTGAGTTTGTTGAAGCTTTGGAAAACAAGAGTTTATTTTGTCTCTATTTGTGATAAACAACTCAAATCTCTGCTTATCTTATGCATATGATAAAGAAAGCAACCTTAATCTGTTCTTGGAAAAACCTTTTGTATTTCAGGAAATTCACGGTTTACTCCGACAAGGTGTTGCTGCTGATAACATATCTGTTCAGCTTTCACCATGGGCTTCTGCTTTATTTGAATTTCTACCACCATTTATCAGGAGACAGGTAAACTAGTATTTACTTTGTTGAGCTTTATCATTGAGCCGAGTTTGTTCTAAAGATTACATTGGAAATTCTAACCGTGAACTTTCATTGTTGCAGCTGCTTCTTTACCCTGAATCCGATGACTCAGCACAGTTGTCTCAGGTAATAATCACCCGATGCCTTGTTGTTCATATTATTTGCTAGACTTTCAGTGTTCCTTCATGTCTTTGTTGTCCTTACATTTCAACGCTTCACAGATCGAGACCGAGAAACTTCTAGCATACCTTGTGGAAGTAGAGATAAACAAGCGTCAGAAAGAAGGCACATACAAGGGAAAGAAATTCAATGCCATCTGTCACTTTTTCGGATATCAAGCTCGAGGATCCCTTCCATCAAAGTTTGACAGTGACTATGCATATGTATGTTGATTTAATTTCCTTCGGTCCAATAGTCCATCTAGTTTATCAGCATCAGCTATTGATTCTTTTGTAATATTAACTTGTTGATATCATTGCAGGTTCTTGGACACGTCTGCTACCATATGCTTGCTGCTGGTTTGAATGGATACATGGCAACTATAACTAACTTGAAGAATCCTGTAAACAAGTGGAAATGTGGTGCCGCTCCAATTTCAGTACGCATTTTTTCTTCTTCGTTTTCCTTATTTTCCTTATCAATGATGTCCATGTTATGGAGTGCGTATAATTTTGTGTTTGCAATGAAATTCAGTCTATGATGACGGTGAAGCGTTATTCTCCAAATCCCGGCGCTACATCAATCGGAAAACCTGCTATCCATCCAGCTACTGTGGATCTGAGAGGCAAAGCATACGAGTAAGACTCGTCATATTTTATGTATATGCCTGCATCTATATTTCTTGTTAGTCAAGGCACTGATGCATGTTCTTGATTACAGGCTGTTGCGTGGAAACGCGACAAGCTTTCTTATGGATGATATTTATAGAAATCCTGGCCCACTACAGTTTGATGGCCCTGGTGCCGATGCAAAGCCTATAACTCTTAATGTCGAAGACCAAGACTACATGGGTCGCATTAAGAAACTTCAGGAGTACCTTGAACAGGTCTCAGCGATTAACTCTTGTATACACTTTTATACCGCAATTCAATCAATCAACCATATCATTGCATCTCATGAGATTTTTTCCTTGTTGGCTAGGTCCGAACCATTGTAAAGCCAGGGTGTCCTCAAGAGGTTCTGAAAGCGGCTTTGAGCGTCATGGGATCTGTTACCGAAGTTCTGACCGCAATGTCATCATCTTCCGGCCACACGTCATCCATTTAATCGAATGCGAAAGTTTTATTCTTTATCGAAAATTTCTGGCATAACATTTTTGATTTCATAGTAGTTGAAGTAGAGTTTATGATTGAGAAATAAGTGATTTTGTCAACATGGGATTTGTATGACTTTTACTTTATTCAAAGTTTTGGTTCCCATCCCTTTCCTACACTATAATAACTGAGTGATTTTTTAAGTTCCAATTAACAGTTTTTGACATTTTGTGTGCATGAGCTGTATTTTATCATACAAGCTGTTTTCATTTTCGCTTAGATCATCATAGCTTATTTAAGTGTTTTTTTTATTGAACATGGTTTTCTTGAATTAAGTTTCAACCACAATAATACTACTATTTAGTGATGAAAACTAAGTATGTTAAAAACCATGGATATTGTTGTTTGTTTTTCTGAAGTTAGGAATAAAAAATAGTTTAATATTGGGAAGGAAAAATGATTACAAGTTACAATGGTTCATTCATTGTTGTGCATTTTTCAAAGTTTTAGTGCGAATGACTGTTTCACTTTTACTAAACATTCTGACCTACCAAATGAATTGTTCTTGAGAATTTTAGTTTGGAGTTTTGGTGGAATAATTTTTAGTTATATTTTATTTATCTCTGCCAGTTTTTTAAAGATATAATTATTTGAGAACAGAATAGTTAACACTAAAGATAAAATAATAGAAAGTAATAGACGAGCCCTCTGGGAGAATATGAAGTTAATAGCTAGCAATAAACCATGGCTGGTAGCTGAAGATTTCAAATGAAAAGAAGGGTGGGGGACATGTCTATGCTCGTACATGCAGTACTTTTAGAGATAACATGGAAGCATGTAACTTATTTGATCTTGGAGCTAATGGTCCCAGTTTTACTTGGAGAGAGCCGATTTTTCATGGTGGTCACCAGATTTACGAGAGGTTGGATAGGGTAATCAATAATGAGGAGTGGAGATTGTTGTTTACGGAAGTTCATGTCAAAGTGCTAATTAGAGTTGAGTTTTTTGACCACCACCCAATTATGATTGCATTAGATTGTAGCAATTATGAGAGGGTGATAAAACCTTTTCGTTTCGAAAGTGCCTGAATGTTGGAGAACAATTATATTGACAGATTGAGGGGATTTTAGAACAACAAGGATGAGTTTGTGTGGAATCTTTGAAGAATAGAATCTGATGCAGAGGGTGAAAAGAAGCATTATGGCTTGTCTTCAAGGCATTCAAAAAAGTATTCAAGATAGCCATAACACTTCTGGTACGTTGAGATTGGAGAAAAAGCTTCAGGAAGAGCTTAGAATCCAGCGACAAGAAAAACTTATGTGGTTCCAGAGATCGAGCCAAGTGGTTAGTTTATGGAGATCGAAACGCAAAATACTATCATCGAAAGACTGTCAACAGGAGGTGAAGTAATAAGATTCTCATGATTAAGAATGATAGTGGAAAGTGGATAGAGGATTGAGATCAGATTAATGTCTTGGTGAATGATTACTACAAAAAGTTTTCTATCGGAGACAATTGGAATAACTGGAAGCAAACTAATATATGTTATCCTCACGTGTTGGAGGAAGATATTATTAGGTTGGATACTAAGGTGAGTAATAAGGAGGTTAAAAAGGTTGTGTTTGATATGAAACCTTGAAAGGCTCCTGGGTTTGATGGGTTCCCTGCAGGCTTCTATCAAAAATCGTGGGGAGTTGTTGGTGCTAGTGTGTGTGATTTTCTAAGTAAAATGTGGGAGAAACCTAGTGAGATTATGCATGTTAACAAAACAAAGATTTGCCTTATACCAAAAATTACAAACCCTAACACAATGTCTCAATTTACACCAATATCACTATGCAATACAATTAAAAAAGTTTTAAGCAAGATTGTGGTGGGAAGACTCAAGAATCATATGGATAAACTGATATCTCCATTCCAAATTAGTTTTGTCCATGGAAGGCTTATTCATGAGAACATCATTATTTCTAAGGAGGCCGTGCATACGATGGAGAAAATGAAAGGGAAAATAAGTTCTCAAAGTTGACTTGTCCAAAGCTTATGACAAGTTGAGTTGGGAATTTATTTGGAGAACCTTGCGAGAAATTCAAATTTCGGACAACATGTTAAATGTGATAATGCATTCAGTTACTAGTGTTGAAACAAATGTAAATTAGAATGGAGCCAGAAATGAGTTCTTTCGTCCTTAAAGAGGTATCCTTCAGGGTGACCCAATCTCATCGTATTTGTTCGGGATTTGCATGGACAAATTGTCTTATTTAATTGAAGAAGCAGTTGCAAGCAAAAGACGGAAAGGAGTTAAGTTAGGTATGCAGGGAATCATGGTCTCACATCTTATGTTTGCGGATAACTTATTGATTTTTGGAGAAGCTAGTGAATCTCAAATAACGTGCGTCATAGAGACCCTTGAAACCTTCTGTCATATATCGGGTCAGGAGGTTAGTCAGGATAAGACTAGCATCCTCTTTTCCAAAAACGTAAACAGGAGCATGCAGGCAAAACTACATTGCATCTCTAAGTTCAGAAGTGTGGATATTTTTGGTAAATACTTGGGAGTTCCGCTAAGTGGGAAGAAGCTCAAAAGGAATGATTACCAGTATATTGTGGAACAGATGGCTGCGAAGCTTAACTGTTGGAAGAGGAATAATTTGGCGCTTGTTGGGAGAATTACGTTGGCAAAGAGCGTTATCGAGGCTCTCCATTTGTATTCGATGATGACAAATAAATTGCCTAAATCTTGCATTGATCCATTCATGGTCTGCAAAAAATCTTTGTGTGGGGCGATATAGATGATAAGTGAAAGTTGCATGCTATTGCATGGGACACAGTCACGTTGCTGAAATGATTAGGAGGTACGAGACTGAGAGATCTAAATGTTTTGAACCATGTGTGTTTAATGAAGCTTGGATGACATATTGTTGTACCCCAAAATTTGCCCTCTCATCTTTTCCAAAGTCTTCTCCCTGCATGGTTGATCACAAACCCTTGCCTAAGGAAAAAGAAAATTTTTGAGTGGTGCTTTAAGTACCTTTCGATTGACATTCTGAAAGACCCTTCGATTGGTATTCTGAAGGAGCACTTCGATTGGAATTATGTCAAGGCCTTCGATTGGCATTCTGAAAGACCCTTCGATTGGTATTCTGAAGGAGCATTTCGATTGGCATTATGAACAAGCATTTCGATTGGCATTATGAACAAGCACTTCGATTGGCATTCTGAAAGACCCTTCGATTGGTATTCTGAATGAGCCTTTCGACTGGCATATTGGACAAGAACTTCGATTGGCATTATGTCAAAGCCCTTCGATTAGAATTCTAAAAGACCTTTTCGTTTGGCACCCTAGGCCAAGCCTTTCAATTGGCATGCCAAGGGATCCTTCGATTTAGCATTGTGTCAAGGCAGCTTCAACAGGCACGTTAACCATGTCCTTCGATTAGCATGAACAACACCTTTCGATTGGCCTGTTAACAAAGCCTTTCGATTGGAATTTTAATTAGGACCCTTCGATTGATATTTGGACAAGGGCCATTTGAATAACTCCTTCCAGGCCATTCGAAAGAGGCCATCAAGAGGTCACACAAAAAACATGTCCAGGTACACTGAACATGAGAAGATGGCATGTTTTCCTTGCAAATATGGCAATAATTAAATGCTGATTGTGGATTTAATTCCTGAGTTAAAGGCCGGATTCTTGCCTTTTCTGTTCCTAAAGAGCTGATTCGACCAGAGTGACTCTTTTCAAATCAAGCAGTCGAAGCAGAAGAAGTCCATTCGAAGGAGGCAACTTAGGACCAACCGAAGAGCAGGGCCTGAAGGCATTCGAAATTCAAAAGTGTCTAGGTTCATTCAAGAGACACGAATATTTCAAAAAAGGAAATATTTTAATGTGTCTGATTCTTGTCTCATGGCTTTAATGGCCTGTTTAATTGGCTGTCTCTTGCCGTTACTAGACCCCCACACTCCTATAAATACAAGGGCCAGTGACACATTACAGAGGGCAGACAAAAACATTACAAAAATTATAGAAAAGAAAAGAAAACTCTGCGGAAACAAAACACGGACAGAGAACAAAAAAACATTGAAGAGGCGCTGCCCATACAATCCATCAAAGGTTGTCAGAATTTTCCAAGCCAAAGCCGTCCTTCAGATCGAAGGTGCCCACGCCCAAAAGCCCTCAGATTGAAAGTGCTCCCATCCAGCCAGTACCCAAATCGAAGATTCAATCTGCTGGTAAGAGAGGGTAAATTGTCAAAACTTTTCATTTTGCATAACACCTCCATATTTTCTATCCCATTCGATTTGCCATCCTAGACAGAATCCAAGGGCTTGGGTTTGGCCCCAGGTCATGTTCTTCGTTTGCTAACATTTGCTGCAGATTTAGCCTGAAAAGACTCAGCGCACGCAGGATCGAAGGGCCTGGGGTTCGATACCAGGCCCTTAGTTTTATTTTACTAACATACTTTTGCAGGTATAGCATCCCAGATCGAAGGAGACACCTTCTCCAGATCGAAGCTTCCCATAGTCCTCCTGGATCGAAGAAGGCATTTTTCCCAGGATCGAAGGGAAATCCCCTTCCCTGGATCGAAGGCTGTTCATGCCCACTTCCTGGCCCAATCGAAAGAATCATGACCCTGTCTGGATCAAAGCTTCCATTCCCTCATTGGCTCTAAGCTCCTTTTTTTTCCTGGATCGAAGGATCCCCCTTGTATTTTATTTTTATTTTCATTGACATCTTTTTATCTTTTTAATTAACATTAAAATAAAAAAACCACAAAAACATTAGGCTAGTATTTTTTTCCTATTAAATTAACTTTGTTAATTAATCTTTTAATTATCTTAACATTTTTCCAAAACTAAAATTATGTAGATTTAGACCATTTTCCCAAAATAAAATAAAACAACAAAAAGATTTTATTCTTAGGATTTTTAGAGGTTATTTTCAGATTCGTGCACATTTATTTTATTATAACTGTCTACTGGTTTGTAATAGCTTAACTAAGACTTTTACACTTT